TTTGGGCCCGGGGGACCGGGGGGGGGGGCTCTGCAACTTACCTGGCTGCTTCTTGCTCTGACTGAGGGCTGCTGGGAGCAGAGGGTGGGTCTTGTTGCATGTGCCCAGCCCCTGGACTCTTTACTGCCGGAGCTCTGCTGCTGTGCGCTCCTGCAGGAAGTGACCCCTGTCTACAGCAATTGGCAAATTTTAAACTGGGTGCTTGCCAACTATACCAAGGTCCCGTTCCCACCGGGGGTTACCAGTAAAAGGAGTCGAGCCTGGTGTTGCTAAAATGACTGTCTTTTACTTAAGAAAATCTATCACATACAAACAATACTGATGCGCTCACACATTCAATCAAGCTCCTTAGAAATACAGTATTAAAATTAAGCACGTTTGCATTAGCAGGTGGGGGTGATGATGGGTGATACTTATCTGTCTTCACAGCTTGGTGATCCCAATGAAGAATGGATGGGGAGAAAATAGAAATCTAAGGGAATTTAACACACAACCAGAACCAGCCAGAACGTGTGGGCAGTAGAGGCAAGGGTTTGGGTATAGCGAGCTGGACAAAAGAGTTAAAGCAGACAGGGGTTGTTGCAGGGGAGATGCTAGTTGATCAAGAAGAGAGAGAGAGAGAGAGACCATGTGACTGATTCTCTTCTTTTATTGGAGATCCAGGAGATGGGTATTGATGGTGCCAACCTCCTGGCCCACCTTCCTGTTAGTCCATCCCAAAAACAATCCTATTGGTTGCCTATAGGAGTGGGAGGTTACCTAAAGGAGTGGTCAATATTGAAATCTAATACCTTACTCAAAGAGGGCCATCTGGTCAGGTGTGAAAACCTTGACGTCAAGATGCTTCAGTGAAGTGTAGATGAAGCTTGGCCATTCCCTTTGTGAAACAAATGTCCATTTGACAGGAAATGCCAATGTAGAACAAAGCATGGATGTGCTGTGCGCGATGGGGGCGATGGGGGCTGTCTCTGCTCAAGTTGTTGTTTTGCTGACAACAATGGAGATGTGTGCTTCCTTCACCAGGCTGATGCTGTGTAGCTGAAACCTTATGAACATGTAAGGCTTATGCAGGCACCTTCTATGTGTAGTATCACAACACGTGATTTGTACAGCTTTCTGAGGCTGTGTGTGTGTGTGTCCATTGTGTGTGTAGCAATAAACATAGTCCATAAAACAAATATCAATCTCATTCCTTAACACGGGGAGGCATTTAAATGCCTCCCCAAGCCTTCCCTGGCCTGTCCCAAGCCTTCCCTGGCCTGCAGGGTGCCAGGGCAAGCCAAGGGAAGGCATGGGGATGAGGCCTAATATGTTAATGAGCTGTGCTGCCAGGGGTATGGCCTAATATGCTAATGAGTTTCTGCTGTTGGGTGTGGCCTATTATGCTAATGAGTTCCTGCTGGGCTTTTTCTTAAAAAAAAGAGAAGCCCTGGCTATTTTGCCAGGAATTTTTCTTGGCCTAGTATCTTCTGTTGGATCTTGTGGCAGAATAGGGAGGAGTAAGTTTAGCGATTGGTTGATTTGGACCTAAAGCAGCTTACGTCCTTCTCTCTTCCATTTTATCCTCACAAAACAATCTTGTGATGTAGGTTAGGCCTAGAGTGCCTGACCAGCAGAAGGGAGATTTGAACTTGGGTCTCCCATATCCTAGCCCAACACCCAGTCCACTTTGTCACATTGGTTTCCTGTTGCAAGCGTCTTGTTTATCTCTTTGCTTTGGGGTTGAAGGCTGCCATTGTTCTAGTGTTAACAACAAGACCCTTTATGATGCATTGATCAGGGCTCTTTTTGTAGCAGGAGCGCCTTTGTATATTAGGCGACACACCCCTAATGTAGCCAATCCTCCAAGAGCTTACAGAGCCAGTTTGGCATAGTGGTTAAGTGCATGGACTCTAATCTGGGAGAACCGGGTTTGATTCCACACTCCTCCACTTGCAGCTGCTGGATGACCTTGGGCAAGCCATAGTTCTGGCACAGCTGTTCTTGAAAAAAAGAGCAGTTTCTGTCAGAGCTCTCTCAGCCCCACCAACCTCATAGGGTGTCTGTTGTGGAGAGGGGAAGGGAAAGGAGACTGTACGCCGCTCTGAGACTCTTTTGGGTAGTGGAGGGTAGGGTATAAATCCAATCTCCTCCTCCTCCTCTTCTTCTTCTGTAAGAAGAGCTCTGTAAGCTCTTGGAGGATTGGCTACATTAGGGGTGTGTCGCCTAATATGCAAAGGAGTTGCTGCTACAAAAAGAGCCCTGGATACCATACAATGAAGTTTCTGAATATGCAGAATGAGTGGAAAGGGTCATGGGGACCATCTGCAGTTCCTGCTGTGGTATCTGAGGGAGACCATCCAAAGGTCCCGAAGCAGAATGCTGAGTGGTTGTCAGGAGTTTAAACTTGCATCTTCAGTAAGCCAAAGGAAGAGGCAGATTGAGGAGGTATTCAGAGATAAGCTTGCTTACCTGTTCCCCCAGGCCCTAGTTTTGTGTGGACTCATAGCTCTCCTGAACACTGGATGTGCTGTGGTGTTTCATCATATCCTGTAGTGCAGGGAGCATATGGTCCTGATTTTTAATGTGGATTGCAGCTTCCAGTCGCGGATCCCTGGCTTGTGGCTCCAGTTTGGTGTAGTGGTTAGGAGCACAGACTCTAATCTGGGAGAACCAGGTTTGATTCCCCACTCTTCCACATGCAGCTGCTGGTATGACCTTGGGTCTGTTATAAGTTCTTTCAGAGCTGTTCTCTCAAGGGCAGTTCTCTCAAGGGCTCTCTCAGCCCCTCCCTGTGTGTTGTGGGGAGAGGAAGGGAAAGGAGTTTGTAAGCTGCTCTGAGACTCCTTCAGGTAGTGAAGGGCGGGGTATAAATCCAATCTCTTCTTCTCTAATTTGAAGGGGAATTGTTTTTGTGTATGTGGTTGAATTTGGTCAGTAGGGTTGCCAGGTCTCACCGGGCAGCTGGAGGGGGTGCTTTGCGTGCGTGCCACAATGACATCATCCAGAAGTCATGTCATCACAACGGGCACATCGTGCAGGGGACGCTCTAGCATTTGGGCAACCCCCCCCCCCCATGGTCACAGTAGAGTTTTAACCCAAATGCTAGAGTGTCCTCTGCATGATGACGTCACCTAGGGGTGACGTTATTGTTCCAGGCACATTGGGCATGACGGGGCTCCTTGGGGGCAGGGTTCCCCCTGCCAGCCAGCTGGCCATTGGCAGATTGGGCCCCCCAAAAGCAGGGGGACCCCTGCCCGCATCAGAGGAATGACAACCCTACTGGTCAGGGGAGTGCACCAGTGATTCCTGTGGCTGTGTCGCTTCACCTTCACCATTCCAGCGGGTGAGTGTGTCGACCATTCCCAGTTCATCTCCGTCTTCACTTGGGTCAGTGTGTCTCGGCGTGGTGCTCAGCAATGTGCTTCCTGGCACCCTCTTGCTTTTTTTCTCATTGCATCTCTTTCTCAAAGCCAAAAAGCCAGTCCTGAGCTTTTACTGACTCAGTGGAGAAAGGGGTGCTTCAGAAGAGCCCCAGAAGCATCACATTCAGGGAGCACTCATTTGGAAACAGCTTCTTCCATCATCAGAGGATGGTTCGGCTTGGAACCTCTTAAAAATCCCCCCCCCCAAATACCCTGTTCCAGAATTATGGAAACCCCCACCTACTGTCCGAAGTTTTGCTAGCAATGGTAGAGGCCGTGAAGGCGAAGCCATACCCTAACCACTTTCTATTAAGTGCCATTTCTAGTTTCTGGAATTATAAAGGGGATTAAAACCATAATAGAATGAAACAGCTCTATAAGGAAGCTTCTTCTAGAAGCGACAGTATTATAGTCCATTGCAATGTTTATTGTATGTCTCTCTGTTTACTACAATGTCCTCTATTTGTGTAACCCCCACTTTCTTCATTATAATATGTCTTCCCCTAGACAGTTTTTGTTGGCATTATTTTCCTGTCCTGTAATCCTAGTGCTGCTTCATTGTTTACTGGAGGTCTTTGCTATCTGATTGTATTCCCCCCCCCCCCATATTTTGTAATCTGCTTTGAGGCTCGGTGAGAAAGGGAGTCTGTAAATGGAATCAAGAATAACAACAGTCCACACAGTGTTCAAGCACATCATCACAGCCATAAGCGCTGGAAATAACCATTACAAATGCAAACTGTGTTTTAAATGCTTCAGAAGTTGTGAACAAACTGCAAGTTTGGCGTAGTGGTTAAGTGCACGGACTCTAATCTGGGAGAACCGGGTTTGATTCCCCACTCCTCCACTTGCAGCTGCTGGATGACCTTGGGCAAGCCATAGCTCTGCCACAGCTGTCCTTGGAAAAAAGAGCAGTTTCTGTCAGAGCTTTCTCAGCCCCATCTACCTCATAGTTTGTCTGTTGTGGGGAGGGGAAGGGAAAGGAGTTTGTAAGCCGCCCCGAGACCCCTTTGGGTAGTGAAGGCCGGGGTATAAATCCAATCTCCTCCTCCTCCTTCTCCTTCTTCTTGTTTTTCTTGGACACGATGAAATTATATCTTTGTTTGGCTGAATCAGCTCAAGTATTTCATGGCCGTCCACCCATTAGATAATTTGGGGAGTCGGGATTTTCTCAGAATGGTTGGGATTGCCAAAAGCATTAGAATGGTGAATGCCCGTTGTCTGATAAGGGAAGAGTTTAAAAATTCACATTTTACCATTTTGTAGAAACATTAAAAGATTTTTTTATAGCATGTTTTCTAGGTGTTGGGTCCCTTTTTCTAACAGAGGGACAAGCATTAGGTAATCAAACAAGCTTCCTGTTACATTTAGTGTGGAAGGGGATTTCAGTAGCATTTTCAAGACAGAGACGTGAGCATTTGTATCAAAAGCACGGGTTACCATGAACACAATGGCTTGCCCTATATTGTGCCATGCTAATCAGAGACACACCCTTCTAAGCCCATTGATTTGGGTGGTGGGAACACAATTTAGGATTGCACTAATAAACAGGCATTTTAAAGACTAACTTAAGCCTTTCCATTCTGTTTGATGCAGGAAGTGTATTCTAAAGGAATAATCCTCCTGTCTGCTGTGTCTTCAGTCAGAGTCCATGGGGATATCAAGTTTGAACTTGTTACGGCGCATAGGATATTTGTATTCAGGGCCGAAAAAGAAGGTAAGATAGACATTGTAATGACAGGTGTTTGATTGTTTTTCAGATCTGTGATGGCAAGAGCCTTGTAGATGGCTCCGACTGCCAGTAATGGCTGCTGCAGGCAGTTTTTCAGAAGGAACTGTTTTCTCTTCCTGATCAAGGATTAGAAAATGTAAGCAGGTTCAAGAAAAACTGCCACAAAACCCTGTTGGTGGGCTTCCTTAGCAATACGGTCAAGAATCACCGTTTCAAATATTTCTCTTATTCCTGTATTGCTCAAGAGATTCTAGCCGTCATGAGTTTTGTATGTCGAGAGCAAAAATAACCGGTAATCGGTTTGCCACACAGTTAACTTGACTACATGATTGATCTTTATCCAGTAGCTATCTATATACTAATAGCAAAGTTGGCCAGATCTGAGGATACTTGAATCTGTGTCTGGAGCTGTGAGAACAGGAAAGACAGATCTTTCCACAAACTTGAAAGGAGCCCCAGGTTTGCAGAAAAATGTGAAATCTTAAAAAAAAAGAAAAAAGTACAACGTGTTTTTTAAAAAAAAAAAAAAAAAAGCCAACCAAAAATGATAAAAGGATTGCCTGTAGCAATGGATTCCCTCAGTGGCTGTTTTTAGGCAACCACAGTATTTTAGTCTGGATTTCTGTGAATAAAAAAGGCAGCAGGGAGAGGACTGGTTCTTTTTCAGGCCTATTCCGGCCTTTGATTCGAAAGCCTCGGCGAGTAGATAAAATGGGAACCACTCCTTAGAGACGGTGGGCACACCATCTCCCCTGTGGGAAGGTGTTAGCTGTCAGTTGGGACGTCCTGCTCCAGGATCGTAAGGCGGTAGAAACTACTCTGCTACAAGAAAAATCCCTGCAGTGGGATGCTCCGGCCAGGCGGTGGCAATGTGGTGATATGACATACGGGTCCTGAAGCCCCAACGTCATCAAGCCGGTCGACGCAGCCATTCGGGACATGACTGATCCAAGCCAGAGGCGTTTCCTCCGTGCAGTTACGGCATGTGCAATTAAAAATGAATTATATGTTGTATTTCCTATCCCCTATGAAACATTGTTAAAAAGGTAAAGGTTCCCTTGCTCGAAAGTCAGTCGAGTCCGACTCTAGGGTTGCGGTGCTCATCTCCATTTCAAAGCCGAAGAGCCAGCACTGTCCGAAGACATTTCCGTGGTCATGTGGCCGGCATGACTAAACACCAAGGTGCACGGAACGCTGTTACCTTCCCACCGAAGTGGTCCCTATTTATCTACTTCCAATTTCTTGCTTTCGAACTGTTAGTTTGGCAGGAGCTGGAACTAGAGACGGGAGCTCACTCCGTCATGCGGCACACTCGGGTCTCAAACTGCTGAACTACTGACCTTCCACAGCCTGCAGTTCAGTGTCTTAACCACTTGAGCCACCACAGCTCCTGAAACATTGTTAGTCCCCTGTCTAAAGCTCTTGCTTTAGCCGCGGACCACTGGTGGTGGCCCGCATACATACACGACTGTTACCATCTGTCTACAATTATTACTATCTGTCCTAGCCCTTATTACCAACTCGCCGTGTGTGCAAAAATGGTGGTACTGCGTGGAGCTGTGGCCACTAAGGATACCATCCTGGTGACGTCATTGGTTCCCTTGTTAGTTGTTGTGGAGAGCACTTATGTTGCACTGAATGTTTTTAAAATGCAGTTTTAATGTTTTATGTATTGGGCATTGGCCCCATCTGTACGCCACCCTGAGCCCGTTCGTGGGGAGGGTGGGTTATAAATTTAAATAAATAAATAAATAACATGGAGTATAAATAAAGTAAATAAATGTAGCTGAAGATGGGAGGTAGATAGAAGGTAGGTTGATGAATGGCTAAGAATGAGAGAATGAGGCAGGGGAAGGGGAAAGGATATGGGGATTGCCGGGAGGAGAGAAAGAGGAAGTAATGTCGGGAGGGGGATACCAGGGAAAGTGAGGTGCCCCCCCCCACAAGTCCTCGAGGGTTCTCTACCATGCAGGTGGGCCATGCCCAGTGGCTGACACCACATAACTGGGCTACAGTTTTCTTAGGTAGCAACTGATGGGGGTAAGTGAGAGGGAAAGCTTAAGACAGAGGGGCAGATAGAGGTAGGTTGGCAGTTGGGTGGGAGGGAGTTAGGGTTACTACAGGTTAGGAAGTACCTGGAGATTTTGGAGGTTGAGCCTGGCGAGGGTGGGGTTGAGGTGCAGAGGGATCTCAGAAGGTCATAATGCCATAGACTCCACCTTCCAAAGCAGCCATTTCATCAATGGAATCTAGGGTTGCCAGCATCCAGGTGGGGGCTGGAGATCACCTGGAATTACAACTGATTAATTCCCCAGACAAAAATGGCTGCTTTGGAGGGTGGTGTCTATGGCATTGTATCATACTGAGGTTGGTTCCCTCCCCAAACCTCGCCATCCCAAGGCTCCAACCTCAAATCTCCAGGAATTCCCCAACTTGGAGCCGGCAACCCTAAGCGGGAACTGATTTCTGTAGTTGGGAGATCTGTTGTGATTCCAGGAGATCTTCAGGCACCACCTGGAGGTGGGCAACCCTCGAAGGAGAAAAGGAATCAGGAAAAGGAGAAAGGCTGTGGGGGCTTTCAAGAAAGAGAAAGAGGAAATAGAGTGTGTGGGGAATATGAGATGCCTCCTGCAAGTCCTTGTGGGATTTTTGATCCTCGTACAACTTCTCACAGGCCCAACTTATTTTTTATATATTTATATATTTATTTATTTGTTGAATTTATACCCCGCCCTCCCCTGTAGGGCTCAGGGCGGCTTACATAATATAAAACTTGCTCATAAAAACATCAAATACTTTAGTACAAAAACACAATATACAGTTTAAAACCCAATCAAACAATAACAATAACAATAAAGTGCTCAACTACACAGCATCCATTTCTAAATATCAGAGAGGACAAATCACAAAACCAAACATCCCCCGGTAGGCATTGCATAATAGATGTTAAACGGATGTTCCTCCTACCCTCCTAGGGCCCTCACCCCCCCCACATTGATGGTAATATAGCGGGGGGGACGGTGGCGGCCCCTAATCAAAAGCCTGGTGGAAGAGCTCCGTCTTACAGGCCCTGCGGAATTGTACCAGGTCTCGCAGGGCCCGGATCTCCTCCGGGAGCTCATTCCACCAGGTGGGGGCCGCCACCGAGAAAGCCCTAGCCCTCGTGACGGCCAGTTTAGCATCCTTGGGGCCCGGTATAGTTAAAAGATTCTGGGCCCCAGACCGTAGCGCTCTTGGGGGAACATACGGGGAACATACGGCTCTCTCCTGCTGGGTTTTCCTCACAATGATCCTGAGTGAGTGACTGGTCTGGTGTCTCCCACTGAATTTCATGACATTTGAACCTGAGCCTCCCCAGGCTTAGTCCAGCACTATCCAATATAATGTGCTGGCTTTCCATGGTGGACGTGTAGTGACTTACGTAATATGGTTCTCTGCAAAAACAGAGTCCCTTGGGATTCAGGCTTTCACTGGTTTTCCCGGGTTCACTGGTTTTCAATGGCATTGTTTCCTTTAATCGCTAACTGCCCTCTGATATCCTTCCAAGCTATGAGAACTTTATTCTTCCATGCCGGGAGAGAAATCTGGCTGGCAGGGGGTGGTGGTAACCAGTGTTCCCTCTAAACTGAATTAGTGTGAGCTAGCTCACAGTTTTTTAGCCTCCAGTTCACAGATTTTTGTTTTAGCTCAGGAAGGATGGCTCCAGAGCAAACTAATTTATGCGGTAGCCCAATCGCTCACTCACAGCTTTAATGCCGGTAGCTCACAAAGTAGAATTTTTTGCTCACACGACTCCACGGCTTAGGGGGAGCATTGGTGGTAACATTTGATTTTCCATTTGGTTGGACAGTAGGGAAGCCCTGCTTATCAAATAGTTGTAGTATGAATGGCATGCGAAGTCGCCATATGTGTTTTCCAAATACAAGCCAGTACTAGAGTCTTGGGGAAATGGTGGCTTTAACTAAACCGACCGAGAGCTGTTGTGTAGAATGCATGAGAAGATTTGATACTCAGGAGCACCTTCAACTGTTCCTGAGCAAATCTTCTTGGCAAAGATTTGTGGGCACCATTTTTGAAGAGAAACAAGAAAAAACGGACTATTAATAAAGTAAATACAGAAGTTCTCTGTGTAAGGTTACATCTAAAAGTTCTTATTTAGGGTAGTCAGCTTCCTTATGGCCACTGGTGGGGGTAGGGTTGGGAAGCTTTGGGATTAGGCTTACCAAGTCCCCCCGGGGGCGGGGAAACCCCCGCCCCAGAGGCCCGTTCCCCACCAGCGGCGGATGGGGCCTTGGGGGGAACCCCACCCCGACGAGCGCGTCACCTGGAAGTGACGCGACCACGCCGGGCACGCTGGGGGTGGGGCCACGGTCATCCGAGGGAAAACTCGATGGTTTTCCCTCGGATGGTCGTGGTCCCGCCCCCAGCGTGCCCGGCGTGGTCGCGTCACTTCTGGGTGACATGCATGCGGCGCGCGCGCGCGCGCGTTCCAGCCGCAGCACGGGAGTCCCCCGGTAAGGAGATATTTCGACTTGGCAACCCTATTTGGGATTTTTGGGGATGGAGCCTAGGCAGGACAGGGACCTCAGTGGGGTACAAGGCCATAGAGTCTATTCTCCCAGGCATCCCTTATCTCCAGGGGAACTGACCTCTGTTGTCTGAAGATGAGCTGTAATTCTGGGGAATCCTCAAGTTCCTCCTGGGGATGGGCAACCCTATTTTTATTTATGACAGCATTAGATTAGTAGTTCTGTCTACTGGCAATTTTAAATGTTTCATTTTAACTACTGCTTTTATGCATTTTATTGTATTTTTAATGATTTATATTGTAAGATGCCTTGAATTCATATAAAATAGAAAATTGGCTAATAAATGTTTTAAGTAAGGCTACGAGATCCAGCATGGTGTAGTAGTTAAGAGTGGTGGGACTGGGTTTGATCCCCCTCACGTGAAACCTGCTGGGTGACCTTGGGCCAGTCACAGTC